AACAGGTGGACAACAAATTTTCGTATCTTCTTTCAATGTTATGACGTAATTGAAGTGTTCCAACGATGACTGACAGCTATCAAATCATCAAAAAGTTAAAATTCGTGAATTCCAACAAAAAAAAATAGGCATGGACTCCAAATTGCCGATAATATACATTACGATTTTTTTCATATAAATATTTCAAAGTATAGCAAGTAAATCGTCTTTTTTAACAAAATACAAAACCTGTATTTTATCATTACCCAGAATTCAATGCTTTGCTTGCCATAAATAAGTCTCATTAGATCTGTCATCAACGATAGTCGTAAATAAGTCGTAAACGAGTAATCTCGTTTCGGCTGTCGGGGTGTAAATGGAGCCGATCATTTGTGGCGGGATTCTTGGCATGTCGTCTGTCAGATTTAACTAGCAGACGACCGTAATATATGACCAGGTTTATCAACATGGTTTGGTTAGCCTCGTCTTTCAACATCCTTATTTCTGGCCGAAACAATCTCTGGAATTTTTAATGACCAAAACAATTCAGTTCCGATTGTCTTCAAGATTAGATGCTGTCTTTGTAAGAGTTTTTTTTAAGAGGAGGGTGGGGGGATTTCAAACAGTTCATTTGAAATGACCAATTCAGTTCTTAACTGTCTTCGTGAAGCTAAGAAATTTGACCGTCGGTTTTCCGAAAGGACTTAAATCTGTTCTCACAGCTTTGTGGACAAATGTTGACATTCTGAGAATCTTTACCTTGTCGAAAATACATTCACAGGAAGTGTCTGTCACGTGACTTTTCCCGCGATAAGCGGCCCGTGACGTCACTAGTCCGTTTCAATACTTACAACAATATTTATTCTCAAAACCAAATTTAACGCCTCGATTCTCTCTATGACATATTCAGTTTGAGAGATCAGTTTGGCAGGTGGGACTTAGCCGTATCGCCATTTTTTTGGAGAATTTTTACTTGTTTCGATTTCCTTCTATGAGCAATAAACATTCAGTTGTTTTTACACAATATTTTAAAGTGATACCATGATCTAACGATTGGTATATTTACATGAGTCAGAATTAGGTCCATTAAACCAAAGTGACATGGTCCTGCCTAACATTCAGCACATGGGGACAAACATAGACTCTTTAGTTTTACACGAGTCAGAATTAGGTCCATTACACCAAGGTGACATGGTCCTGTCTAACATTCAGCCAATGATAGTTTAGTTTCATTTACCTGTAATACTTATCAGAACTGTTAATTTTGTCTTTTACATCTACAATTAATAAACAACCTTTACAGGCAGTAGTGGCGACGGTACCAGACTCTTATTAACATTCAAGTAAGTTTACATGTGAGACCAAAGTCATATTTCCTTTCTTAAAAGTGTTAAGGGAATCTGTAATTAGGTTATGACGACTTTTTGAATTTAGACGACCACATCCCTTTAAAAGTTTGTTGACTGGCACTTGATAGCGACGCCCAGTTTATATTGTAATGTAAATCTTTTCTGCCAAAATACACAAACTATTCCAGTATACGGGGTCGTCGTAACAGGTCCGCTTAGATCAACAACTACAATCGCTTACATCAAAACAACCAGCGATTCACTACTTAAATTTCTTAACTCTCTTATTGAAAAATTAAACAAAAATAAAACGAAACTATATCAATATCAAAAATCGGAATACAAAAATAAAAACGCTTCTGGTAATCAAATTGTGAAATCTTATTAAATAAAAAACGAAAATATTATGACAAATGTCAAATTTCAAACTCATATAAAATTATCTACATCGATGATATGTCTTGAAAATGATTTAGTATATTTTCTAGAATGCCAACAAGTTTGCCTATGAAACGAAAATATGCATTTATGTCCGTATCTTGCTTTTTACCATATCAAGTATTATAAAAAAAGATGTGGCATAATTTTATGAAAGTTCTATATCAGCATGACGTTTATTCTGCCTTGAGAGATTAGCAATTCGTCAGCCATTCTAGCAAAAACCATGCAGCAAATTCAAAACAAGGAATCGAATGTATTACGAAACGAAAATTTACTACATTAAATTTCGCATAGACTAAGCTTGTTCATTGCATAGTATTAAAGCCTCATTTTGGAGCGAAAATATAAAAATTTGTACACATTAAAAAATCCGAATTTAACCACAAAACGATATAATTCTTCATTGTACATGTCATCTGTTCATAGATCTATCATCGCATCAAAACGTCATATATCATATTAAGGAATCAAATTTACTCCAAAACGAAAATATAAAAATATAAAAACATGGGAAAGGAATGTGTCAAATATTTTATTTCATAATAAAACGCCGGGTGGATTATAAAAAGTGATAGCCCCTTGTCAAATTCTTGGTTCATATGTCGACAAAAATCTGATATGGACCGAATTTACCGTTAGAGATGCATGGATAAGAAAAAAGATAGCATGAAGGAATGTTCTTTACGTGTGGGTGTATGCAGATTGAAAACAAACATGATTCAATACGCGGATTCCTTCCCTGTAGTTGATACTTATGTTTTGATGCCCTGCTTGTCAAATTTTCAGCTTATATTGTTTTGATACATTGTCGTGTTTTGGTACCGGAGGTGACATTTTCTGTCTGCAAATGGATTTTATTTTTTGATAAATTTTTGTCTTGTTGAGATATTTTAAAAGTTTTGATTATCCATTTTATTAATATGAATTTGTAGGCAAACCTGGTGCCGTATACTACTCTGAAGAGTGATACACCTCGTTACTCTAGTTGAGCATATTATAAACTGTTATATTCTATAGAGAGTTCTTTACATTAAATTATGTATTTCGAAACGATTTCCACGAGTATTGATTTTTTTTTCCTTTATCCCTTTTTTTGATTCAGAATATTCTAAAAACTCGAGGCACTACGTTTCAAAACAAAAAACAAATCAAAGAATTCCATATTTGTATAAAAGTCTATTTTTGTCCCTGGAAACTATATTTAGAAATACTCTCTAAATAAAACAATATAAATCAGAAAACTCTTAAAGGTCAAACTTTTTCGGGGGAGTTTGGAATCCAAACTCGTGCGTAAGAGGATGTGAACGTATCCCCCGGGGAACGAAACTTCGAAAATACTTTGAAGTCTGAAACGTAAACAAGGAAAATTGTCCTTGACCTTCAAATTTTACTGGAATATTTTTGAAATTTTCAGTTTACCAAAATTCCATATTTTTCAAATAATCAAAAAAGTGTCGTTTTCTTTCAAAATTTTCTGTAAAATTCATTTCAATTTTGTTTTTTAATTTACATGTCAATGTTTCTTTTCTTGCGTAACATTTCTAAAAATCCGTAAAATAAACACAGCCAGCTTGGTACGTATATTAAATCTATGTCGGTTGTCAAAGTGCCCCACAAATTATAGCTCTAACGAGGCTCTACGGACATGCCATTAAATTGCCAGTGCGTGTAAATAGAGTTCGAACCGTACTAAAGCCGTGACAACACGATGAAGGGTGGTAGAAAGGGGGAGGGGTGCATTAGAAAACCTAACATGGCACCGACCTTGGACAGATTTATTAAAATTTGGTAATCATTCATGAAAGGAAACGAATGAGGGCGCAGGCTACCTATGCCCAAAAGTGAGAATACACGAGGCATATATAGCCTGTTTATAAAATTCTGATTTTCTCTCAAAAATGAAAAAAAAATTGACGTGTACATCTGGCTTTCACTCCCTACAGAATATAAATCATACTTTAATACGAGAATTGACGAGAACTATGCGTGAACACCATGAAAGTGGCGGGAAAGTGATGGAATCAAGTGGCGCCCCCTAGGGAGTTGGCAAATAAGAATAACGATAAGAGAACAGCTGAGGGAATTTTATGAGGCGTTCAAAAACAAAGTAAACCGTCGAAATCGGCACAGAAACCAAATATTTAGATTTCTGGCGGCCATCATTTTCTAGTTTATTTCCTTCTTAAACACCTGACTGCAATTTTATGACTTTTGTTACGTTTGTTGTTATCGTACAAATTTTGTGATCGTCTTATCAAGATTAGTTGTAAACGAAACAATAGTTAACTAATGAAGTATACATAATTATGACCATTCTTAGAATTCGAATTTTTGTATTTTTCGTTAGGAATTTTCTTTAACCCAAAATACGAAACAAAAATATTAAGTAACGTCTCTTTGTGAATAATTGCCTGAAATTCTTAAGCAAGCTTTATTTCTAAAAAAAAAATCAAAATATCATCGTTCCGTTTTTCTTTCAGGGAAAAAAAAATTTCTCTGTATCCTTGAGGACATTCTTTCGTGTTAAGATTCCACAATTTATCGGATTTTACAAATCGAAATTCCTGGAACGATTCCAAAGACTCAAGTAAATCATTAAATCTTCTGACAAACTATCCAAGACGTTAAGACTTAAATAGGATTGTGCTTGATTGGCCAAATCAGTGCCTCCTAATTGGAATCGTTTGCTAGGACTGAGAAGCAAGTAGAACTGTCGTGCTGATTTCGTGACGCTAAAGCTGTTCCTGGGCCATTAAGCTTCGCGGATCACCACAAACTCGATTAAACAACAAGGGATTGCCGTATTAAATGCTAGGGTGTAAATTATAGAATTATAACACACAATTAATTCCCTTGATAATTATTGTGATAATTGCCGTGTTATTTAAATCAGTTGACGATTTGGGAGATGCAATTCTGGTTTACGGTTTTCGCCTAATCTGTTTCAAAACTTTTAGAGACTATTCCAGATCGATTTGATTTTGAAAATGCTAAACATAAATTTATAGCTTAAATACGTCATTCATTCATTCAATCCTTCATTCATTTCTTTAGTGTATTTAATTATCCTCTCCATCCATGCATTGCAGATGCAATAGGCTATAACAATCTTGTGTTGGGTGTGTCTTATTAACGTTAATAACCCAAAACAACTTAAACAACCATATTATATCTCAACCTCAATCAATTTAGAATAAAACAAAATTTCATTTTTTATTTTCTGTTTTTCAGGTTTGGGTCCCCTTGATAATGGCGAACGACCAGGAGAAGTTTTAGATCGAGAATCCTACCATAGTCAAGGATCTCGGCAAAAAAGAGTCCGAACCTCCTTCAAACACCATCAGTTACGGACGATGAAGTCATATTTCGCGCTAAATCACAACCCAGACGCTAAAGATTTAAAACAACTGGCACAGAAAACGGGGTTAAATAAGCGAGTTTTACAGGTAAGGATATGTTCCATCTCTTTTTCAACCCATAATCCCATTTAGAGAGTTCACATAGCTAATATTGTTCATTTGATTTCAAACCAAAGTTGTGGATTTTTTTTGAACACTAAGGAGTATACAGTATACATATGTATATATTTGCTTTACCAGCGTATAGTATTCAATTCAACTACCCGTAGTACTTTTTAGTATTGAAATTGGACGTATAGTTCTGCTACCATTACCCATTTAACTCAATGAGCAACGGTTAATACAAACCATCTACACTGAATCAAACAGTTTCAATGGTGAAACTAAATTTCAACTATCCTTAACTCTTTTCAAAATAAAAATTCGACGCACAGTTCCACTACATGTGTACTCGATAGGCAGGCCACTGTGATTTTTCAGCTGACCTAAAGTTGATTATTTTCTAACGAATCGTACACCGAATCACCCTGCTCGATATTTTGGTAAACTTTAACTGTGTATAACATTATATAAGGCTGTTTATTTTTATTTACCCTTACCCTCACACTGAGTGCAAATATTAGAAAGTGCTTCGGTCGCTTCATTCAGATTCTTAGTTTCGGTGAGAAATGATGAATGAATGAATGAAAAAATTAATGAATTAATGAATGAACTGATGAATGAATGAATGAATGAATGAATGAATGAATGATATGAATGAATGAATGAATGAATGGATGAATGAATGAATGAATGAATGAATGAATGAATGAATGAATGATATGAATGAATGAATGAATGAATGAATATTACCATCTTTCTACTTAAAAAAAATATTTACAATAAACAAAGGATATTCAGTGTTTAAAATACAATTACAATTTTCAATATTTGTTTAATGACGTCACAACTCCCGAAACAGATTAGATAGATGCCATGTCGGTTATCTAGAAATCAAATCTATGTAAGATGGTCTATCTATAGCCGAATCGCTACAAACTGTTTTCTTATCGCCAGCATCAAGATCTGATGTTTACACTATCTTTACTTAAATCGTACAAAATATTTTGACTTTAACGTACACAAAACAAACACTGGGTTATGTATCTTGATTTGTAAAATCATTTTTAAACATCTGAAAAAAAATGACATTTAAATCAAATTTTGGAACATTTGAAAAAATGTTTTATTTTGAAAAAAAAGGGTGACTAAATATCGAATATAACCATAATAAACAATAACAAACTGTGAATATGTAACTTTATTTTGAAAGTATGTAAAATTCAATTCGTTCGATTTTGTTATATGCGATTAAATTGGTTAAATAGGCACACCAATATGTCCAAATTCAAACAGATTTTTTCTTATTTCTCAATAGAGCTAGAGTTTTTATTTTTTAGTATTTTATATGTTCAAAAATGTTAATCGTTACTATTGCTTCGTTTGAATGCGAATAATGTCGTTTTTTAGTCACACCACTGTCTCATAAGTTTTATATCCAGCCAAATTCTGCCCCAGTTTTAAGAAAATAGTAACAAATTGGCAGTGAAATTCGAGTCAGTACGGATGTTACTAATTAAACGTCTTGAAAACTTGGGTTGAAATCTAAAACTTGGCTTCCACTAGTTTGACACGATACGAAATATAGCCTACTTAATTCAGGGATTATACGGCATTTTCTTGGGAAATCTTAGACTTGCAGAGAATGAATGAATGAATGAATGAATGAATGAATGAATGAATTGGCGAACGAATGAATTGACTATCGAATGAATGCATGAATTGAAGAATGAATGAATGAATGAATGAATGAATGAATGAATGAATGAATGAATGAATGAATGAATGAATGAATGAATGAATGAATGAATGAATGAATGAATGAATGAATGAATGAATGAATTTGTAAAATGATTTTTGAATTTTTGGAAGGAATGAATGAATTTTTAGAAAAATTTATATCAAAAAATACTCTCAAAATCTTCGAAATTACATGGAAAAAATTAAACATGTTCAAGAATCTGCTTCAAAGGTGGCCATATTAAACGAAAATTCGAAAAATCTTTAAATTGACCGCCAAATTTGGACTACACGGCTCTAATTTCCCGAATTTATTTGTTAAACGACGTGTCAAGCTATAAAACTATAAATCTTAATAGTAACAAGCATTACATTTGATTAAAATTGTTTATAAATTTGCCATGAAATATTTGAAAATATTATGGTTAAATATGAAAAACACGTGTGTTTATAGACATCCGACATCTTGAAGAGAACGGCCTGTTTTCGTGTCGTGTTGCCATATTGCAAGGATAGGACGACACAGTTGTTTTTTTTGGTGTAGTTGAATAAATTGATGCCTCAAAAAAGAGCGACATATGACATGGTGGTAGATAGGAAAATCTTGGTTTTTGGTCTAGTTGAATATATTGATGCGTCAAAAAAGAGCGACAATTGATATGGCGGTAGATAGGAAAACAGTGGCTTTATTTTAGTATTTAATATGTTGATGCGTCAAAAAGAGTGACGTTTCTCTCGTTTTGTTCCAGTTAATTAAAATTTTGGAATTATTATTACAAAAAACGAAGAAATATTTCTTTCTGTAAATATTTATTTAAAATTTATGATTTAACAAAAATGTGATTTTGTTAGAAAAATGTTCGACTTGGATCGTTAAGACAAGTCTCAAGAAAATCGTTCAAGATAATTTTGCCAGTAATTGCATTAAGCCACAAGTCGAGAACCGTTTAACACTGCATGAAACCCACTTGGATAAAAATTGATTAAATAAACCGTTTAACACTGTTGAATTTCAAATCGGATACAAATTAATTGAGAGATTTGTTAAAGGTGAAAATTTGATGAACATGTTCTTGTGTTGGTTAAAGGGATAATTGAAAGATCTTAGAGCAATAATGATAGCTTTATCAATTTATAAATTTAAAGATCTGGGTAGCTTTTAATATTGGCATGAAGACTTTTACTATCGCCACTTTTACTGGTACAATGTTCATTGATTGCAGACAAACTAGCAGTCGAATTTTCATTTTGAAAAGGGTTATTTAAAAATAAAATTGATCTATCAGTTGGTGAAGAGAATAATCAGGGGTTGGATTCGTTTACTACAGCAGGCTGAGCACATTAAAGATCCCTTTACTGATGTCCTGACAAAATTTCCCTTATTGCACACTCCACAGCGTTGCCCATCAGCCCAATCTGAAGCACAGATGTACGAGTAAAACTTAATTTCAATTCCTTTAAGACAAGAACTGTGTGTGGTCGAAATGAATTAAAACAGAAACCTGTAGAAAGATTATCATGAATATGTTTTTATCATTCACTGTTTTCACAATATTCATTTTCTCTCCTCAAAACACACATTTCATATCGTGTAATTTGTACTGGTAATTTCGGAGAATGGCACCATTGTTCCTGCAACCTGCATGGAATGGTTCCAAGCAATTTTTTTTCCTTTCACTGAAATTTAACAGAATATGGAAAATTGAAAATGAGCTCGAAGGAGAAAACGTTTATGGGGATGGGGCTAATTTGTGCTGGTATTTTTCAATGGCACCATTGTTCCTACAACGTGCATGAAATGGTTCCAAGCGTTTTTTTTTTTCAATTCACAAAATATGACTCGATATGAAAAAAGTAGGGGAACAGGGTATGGGTGGCGGATAGGGGATTTTGGGGGGGTGGGGGGGGGGCTTTGGGTATTAGGTGAGGGGTGTTACGGAACACCTATTACCGTCGTTGTGGTTGGACTTGTGACCACTTCCCTTTCGGTGGTCCCAAGAAAGCGTTCACATGGACCACACACAAAATGCCACAGTTTAGTTACAATATACAAATACGCATTATTCAAAAAACGGCAGAATCTGAATTATTCATAACACGTTTTTCACACTTGATTTCAAAATATCAAAAGTATTTGCAAATAATAATGTTGGATATTGAGCGAAATTGTTCAAATGGTGGCCATTATGCAAGTTGTAAGGCGGATATTTGTAAGGTTTTGTATATATACAATAACGTCCTCTGCGATGTAGGCGGGCTAGCGACACAATATCAATTTTCCAATGTAAATTTCTATACATTACGCTGCCCTTTGTAAGCAAATATTGATAAATACTCTTACAAGGGCAAAAATAGATATCTGTCACTCGTGACACCTTTTGTATGAACCAAACGAATAAATTTTCCCGCCATTTACCGACCAAGCACGATTGGATGTTTACCTACCGTTTTCAGAACATCGAGAAATTTGAATGCATAAAAGCGAGTTGTATGATAAGTACTTGCTTAAAAATGTATCCTATTGCGTCTGTGACGTTAAAAAGCAAATTCGGGACATATTTTTGAATTTTTTTTATCTTCATTCTCATGACAATGTTTGTTTTGAAAAACGTCATTGTATTTCGAGTGTTTATTCCCATTTTCCACGAGTAAATGTACAAATACTTGTGTAAAATCCTCGAGCTTGTTTTATGGACACACGTTACGTGTTTAGAAAAGTGACCCGACGACCCCTCTGTTTGCCGAATTCAATCGTTCTGCGTTTCAATGATATCTTTCAAAATTGAATAATACTTTTTCATGTCGGGTTGTTTGCTCAGAAAACCGCCTTCTATTCGGCGATAATTGTCAAATAAAAACTTGCAGCAAACTTCAAATCTCGTTTGGTTTTAAAACAGGCTACACACAAAGTTTAATGTTTCGTTTTCTTTTGAACTGGCTACCCACAAGTTAAATTGTACCGTTTGGTTTTAAAACAGGCTACACACAAGTTTAATGTTTCGTTTTCTTTTAATATTTGCAAATTTCTATATAAATATTTCGTTCAGTTTTAAACAGGCTACACACAAAATTTTAATGTTTCGTTTTCTTTTAGTATCTGTATCTAACATTGCCTTTGATTGAATGAATCCACATTCGAAGTACAAAAATACATTAAAACCCGTGTTATTTATTATTCATGATTCACATTTTTTCTATTATTAGGTCTGGTTTCAAAATGCACGTGCTAAATACAGACGAAACGTTTTAAAAACAGAACCAGATAGTAAAGATGGCGACAATCCAGGATCCCCGTCAGACGACAAACTCAACGATTCCTTATCCATGGATGACATGTCAAAGAACCAATCACCAGCCGTTTCTGACATTAGCTCCTCCCCCTCACTCTCGGACCTCCAGACACCCTCGCTCGATGCCGACCAGAATAGCAACAGCATCTCAGACATTTTTAGCAGTTCGATTGGTGCGCTGAATTAATTCCACGATGCAATCGATTACTTGTGTTTTGAACTAATGACAAAAATTGAGATTTATTGGTGTGTTCGATTGTTTGTGTTTCCAAACATATGAGAAAATTAGAGTTCGTGGATGTGTTCAATAGTTTGTGTTGGATATCATGAAAAGAAACTCTTGAACGATTATCGAATATGACAATTCAAAGTAGCCTAAAGTTTCAAAAGTTGCTGACTCTTAAATTTCCCAGAATCTCAAATCTGTGTCGCTTCGATGAGTTCCATGGCAACCAAACCAAATAACTTCTGCATTGGCAACTGACGCTGGAAGCATCTGCAGATACCGAACTAATAAGTGTGTCAGACGATTCCATGTTGTCAGCCAATTTCCGTGCTTGTTCGAACTACCAATGTGGCAGAAGGTACAGGTTACTGTATGGTATAATTGAAGACTGGACAATTAAGACTATCGGTAATAGTCGCCAGGTGGCGTTATCACAAACAGGAAGTAGGTGAAACTAAAGATGTGATTATCAAGCTGAGGCATTGTCAAATTAGCATCTGTATCAGATCGCGAAACGAAACTATCGGTGGCTGGAATTCCACAAAAACAAACTTAGAATTCCTTATCTTTTGCAGATAACAAAACGAAACAATAGTGGATGTCGTGATAAACGAGACAAAAATAAACGAACATCCAGTGAATAAAGACCTATTATGTGAAAAACTGTAATACTATGGATAAACATGTGGAAGTATTTCAGCACCAAATCAATGTAGGTTAGAGAGGATTAACGTCACTAAAGACAAATGACGTCACGTAACAAAATGACGTCAAAATATTTTTGAAAAATGAAAATTCGACCAATCGTCGTTTGTTTTAATATATTATTATTATTATTTATATATTATGTGTTTATGTATAAATTTGGAACCGATTTTAAGCGGTTATCTTGTCGTATGCCTTTGTGAATATTTCTCTCCACAGGCGTTCGTAATATTTACCAACCAATCAAATTAGAAATAACCGACCAACCTCGCTACCATAACGATGAATTTGTCTCTATTCAATGTCCCAAAGCATATTGCAAAAGTACAATGATAAGGAATTCACAGGCATAATGAATTTCAAACCCTTCATCATGAGTTCACAGGCATAATGATAATGAATTCACAAGCATAATGATGATGAATTCAAAGGCATATTGATAATGCATTTAGCCTACAAGCATAATGATAATGCATTCACCATCATAATGATTATAAATTAGCATAATGATAATAAATTCACAAGCAGAATGATAATGAATTCACAAGCATTATGACACTAAATTCACAGGCATAATAATAATGAAATCCAACTTCTTGATTATGGCCCATGATGGCAAAATGTTGTTGGGATAGAGGTAGCCATGAAATTGTCTATTAGGGCCCTATAGATCATAAAACAATTCCCTGCAACCAATATTTTTATAGAATTTAATAATTCTAGAAAAAACCACTTCCCCAACCTTTCCATTTTTAAATGAATTGAGGATGATTTTTTTAGATTTATAAATATGAAATTTTATATTTATTTTTTAAGAAATCCAAAATGTGTACTAAGTTAATTTTATTTTTTTCGGTTATAGTTTCGGTTCATATTACGTGATCTGAAATTTGTTTGTATCCAACATGAAATGTGTGTACGTTTGTCATTCAAGTGCTGCTTTGTTAAATTATGGAATCTGTTTTATGTGAAAGACGCCCACCCTATTCGTTGCTTTCATATTGTTTTTGATATTTGGAAATAAATCCATCTCGTAAATAAAATATCTTCGTTTTACTTTTAAAAATTGTGTGATGTATTTGTATGCACCCTTATAATAAGCATGACGCCATTAGAATGACGAGTCAACTAGTAATCTACACTTTTCTACGTGACTGCGCATAGGGACACCGAAATATATTCCAAGATGGAAAAGGTTGTCTGTGGGTTTGTTCATGTTGACTGTCCCAAATAATGTATTCTACAAGTAACATTTATACAGAATCTAAGGACGAAACGACTATACAATAGTTTATCATCGGAGATGCATTGTTTCACCGAATACGTCCAATTAGCGCCGTTCATTGATAAATAGTGGGCGTCCGTTTCACTCAAATAAACAATAACTCACCGAAAACAATCACAATAAAAAATCTGCAAGGCATCAGGAATGTTCTGCACGTGCGAATCCAAAAGTCAATAAGTGCACGCGCATGTTTTCAATGTGATTAGTTAAGTTTTTGGCAGGAGTGACACCTTGTGTCAAGTCTGAAGTTTTAGATAAACGGTGGGGATGAAACGCCGACACACCCAACATTCTTTCCTAACGTTGTAAGAATGCCAGAATTTCGTGATCTATTTGAAAAAGGGGACTACAGAAGAAATAACAAGTCAGTGGGCGAGTTGACAATGAGGCAATTTGTCGAATGATTGGACACTTTTTCTATGTCAGCCCCTTTGAACTATCACTGATAAAGTGAAATTAAGGTGACATATCCGAAATATTGAAATAGCCGGAAGTGAAACCCAACACCACTTTGTTAGCCACTGATCTCTCTACTTATTTTTGTGGCCTTTTGCATTTCGAAATCTGCTCCCACCCCATCTCAATCCACCCCCTTTTGTGGCTACCAGTATCTATAACCACACCTGTCTGAGCATGATAGAGAAAGCACGGCATATCATTCCAACCGTTCGTCACAGCACTGGCATTGCCAATTTCCTGCAATTCATTGGTAGACGTTGATATTCTTTGTATAAACCAGATGATTCGAACGTTAGCAGATGATTTTAATGTCAGTCAGATGGGAAAGCGATTCCCGCCAATTTGAGAGTATATTTAGCAATTGGTATTTACATATTTTAATGAAAATTCATTTAGTTATGTGTATATGAAGATATCAAATAAACCTTATTACCTATGTGGACTCTCTGAAATGGTTGACAAACAAAATAGTACAGTAGCATTGGGTGTTCTGGTATGTAAAAATTGAATAGAATCGTACCAAAAATGGAGTTTTACGTCTGAACATAGTGGAGTAAGATGACGATAAGATATGACCTAACTGACAATGTGAACACCGAATCCTCAATGTAATGGTGGAAAAAATCTGAAACATTTTCAGACACCTATGAACTTTCCGAAAGAGTCAATCAAGTTCGCTCTCCGCTGAACATCTTGCGTCCATCAGACTCCATGATTGACAAGAAGCATTACGAGTTCCACTATGTAATACTAAGTAACAACCAAGTTACATGAACTGAAAAACCTCGCAATCTGAAAGTAAAGCACATCTTGAACACAGACCTACAAGACGTTTCGCATCAAATCTTACCAAAAGTCACAAATGAAACAATAAAAAATGGTTCAATACGTCTAAAATACACATGGTTATAAGTAACCGCAAGAATATGCAATATTTGATCTTCTGAAAGCTTATCGTTCCCACAATGCAGTTCACAGTTGCGTTCGAACACATGGTTACCACCGTTTTGACGTCTGGTCGAAACATGGGCGCACTCGATTGTCAACACATGTGGCGCTAAGTTTTGATGTTGTCTAAAATGAAGGTTTGGATTTCCCCACTAGAGTATAAAAGAATAATTTTCTAGAAAATTGTTATATAAAAATGATAACAACTTTAGTTTGACGTTGAGTAGTTCCAGACTTTGGAAAGTTTTAGGCTTTGTGACAACCGAACACTTGTATTCACCACCGAATACTTTGAGATATATTTTCTACCATTTACGTTATTACTTTGGGTACAATTTGACATCTAGTAGCACCATAACGTGTCAGAACTCTTGCCAATTGTCCTCTATTTAACCTTGACAAATGTACTACTTGTTCTAGTTTGATCCAACAGAATTTTACTTTCTTGGGGATATTTTTCAATGCTCTCTCGGGATAAACAGAGAAATCGTCTATTAACAACCGAACAATTAAACTGACCACCGAATACGGTTGATAAATAAAAATTTGTCACATTAGATCTTTATTGTGAAATTATTGTGCTTAAAAGGGTAATTTAGGACGGAACAAATATCCAGTGCAGATAGTCTTGAAAGGCATATTTTCTTACACAATCTTATTACAATCAAAATGTCGTGCAAATAGTCAAGCCTTTTAGTGCTCTTCAACTATCCTTTTTTACAAGGATCGGCAGCTATAAATATGTTCATTGTCTAAGATAATAGATTCTAAAAAGGATCCAGGGCATTTTTACTATATCGGAATAAACGTAAACACCGTCTGAAACCTAGTGAACGAATTCTGATAACGTGTAGGATACCCAAATGTCCAATCGTTCTGAACGTTTACAAAACATGTCACTTCGTCTTTCCAAAGACTTAAGAAATCCAAAAATGGACCAAGATCTAAATAAGGAGACGTGGGTTGCGTTCGGTTGAACTGACCATTAGCCTAGTATATCACAGGCTATAAACAACTAGGTTAGATGAAACGACCCACTCCCTAATCACCTACGACTAATTAATCGAGCCTATAAATAGTCACTGCCTTCAAGATAGTATTTATCAACAAATAACAAAAGTACAAATGATTTGAAACAAGACATTATTTGAAGCCTGTTAAACTAATGAGAACATTTTGGGTCATTCATTACTAACAGTCGAGAAACTTTTAAAGAGTGCAGCCTATAGCACGGGGCCTCGGTAATGTGTCACATCGAACGACAAGACCCATTTCCATGTCAGCTCCCGTCCTGCATCAATGACAGGTCTTTCCCCCTCTATCATTTCATTAAAAAGTTACAAAAATTAATTTTGTCGTAAACATACAAAAACGAAACGAAAAATCCCATGATGTACATTTTAATGTGATTGATCGAATTCGAATTCTGTAGTGCGTTCGAATACACGTACACACAATTCGTAACATTCATTCACAGAATTAAACATAATTTATCTCCAATTTTTATTCCGATGTTTGGTTATTTTATCAGTTATCATTGAGATAGTCGAGAAGTGAAAATAAACTCTCGCGATAACTCAACGAGATGAAAGAAACCCGGCCACAAATTGCTACAAACTGTAAACCGAGAGGCTTCTTAATCTAATTTCACTTGTCGAAGAAAATATCGGGTTTTCTCAATGAGAATATCAAAGAATCTCGCTAATTCTCGCACCTGTTCTCGCTTATCAATCACTCTGTCAGCCATTTTGAAAAACAGTTTACTTAAAGATACGCTGTCGCGCATGCCAATCATGCTATATGCATATCCGGTTTCATTTTCAAATAGATTTCGACAGTTTAGCGCACTTGCACAAACAACTAGTTTTCATATGGACTCCAAATGGCTGACCTGTGGGAAATTGAGTTAGGAAACGGTTTTTGAAATTGGGCTAAAATAGCAATACTGTTTTTACGGAAATTCAACATGCAATATTTATAGAAATTCTTCAGCTTAGTGTAGGGTGTAATATTGTCGAAACTTTGTAATTTATTTATGAAACGGAGAAAAATATTAAATTTGTAAGAAAGTGAGTCGAGTTGAATTACTTCTGAAGATGTAAAGTTGAAAGCTCAATAGTAGAGTAATATTAGGTATTTCGGAAAAGTACCACATTGCAGATGTAATGACCTTATAAAGTGAAAAGTGAAAAGCACAAGGGGAAACTAGGGCGGTTTAGGACCTTGAGAGCCGCATATTATAGAAAC